CAAAAAAGACAGAGAAACTCCTGACCACCCTCTTGCTCCGAGCAGAGGCTCGGGGGCTCTTCCTGTAACCAAGCCAAGGCCCAGCGACCCGAACTCGCACTCGGGGGCTTGGCAAACTCGACAACCCCCCACTCAACAGGGAAAAAGCCCCTGGAGGAATAAATCCACTCCTCCAGGGCCACGGGGGCTACACCCGGCGGGTGCGCTCGCGCGCACCACCCAGAGCCTCGAGCACGGAACACAATCCCGACGGGACCTGCTGCGAGCCAAGTCTCGTCAAAACCTCAGGGAGAGTGCTCACCCCCCCGAGGCTCGGGGGCTACTGTCGGATACCATAAAAAGGGGTACCCTAAGCAAGAACCGAAAAAATTGCTTAGACCTTGTAAATAACAAAACCAAAATACAACCACAGGCAAACCCACCACATCTGAGGTCCAGCTGGACCGCCCGGCCCACCTCGAACAAATATTCGGGCTCGACCGAGGCCCCACACCGTAAGGCCTCGGACGAGGTACCGATTCTCCGGCTTGCCCGAGGCCCCACATCGCAAGGCCTCGGACGAGGTACCGATTCTCCGACTCGCCTGAGGCCCCGCGCCACGAGGCCTCGGACGAGCACCCGGTTACCGACTCTCTCTAGGCCGGCTCAGCATCAACTCTGTCACCGCCACCTTGACCGAATTCCCTGACGAGATGTCACATCCAACTAACACGTTCAACCACTCCCGCGACGTCAGCCGCACGACGGCACGGTACCGAGGAGTGGTCGACGAGACGGGAGTCACATCAACCCCATGCTATTCGAGATAGGACGTGGCGGGGGTTACCGGCCGCTGTGCTCGGCATTGTGCCCATGACGGACACCCGTGCCACGCTGTGCTACCTAACCCCTGCTCAGGCATGGAAAGTCACGTCCGAGTCTCTGTAGCCTCAGAAACAACGTGCAAGGCCAACTGCTCCCTCCGAGCCTCGGCTACCCGCTTCAGGGCTCCTATAGCCTCGAGACTCGCGCCCGCCGAGCCCACGACGGTCCAGCCTCTGCATCGACTGGGCCTCGGCTCTCTACGTTGTCAGTGCTCTAGGACTGGCACGTCGCCCGCAGTATGCGCCATGCCCTGCGTTGGGCTGCAGGAGCTCCCACGTCGTGCACAGGGCCTAGCTCATGTAGCCTCGGAATCAGCGTACCCACACCATCGCATCAACTCGGCCTTAGCACTCCGCGCCGGTCAAACCTACAGTGACCTGCACGCCTCCAAAAGAAGGCGCGCCTGCCACCACAGGAGCTCCCACGTCGCACGGGATCAAGCGTGACCGGCGCGTCGCCCCAGTGCACGGAGGACAAGACCGCTCCACCGACCACGCCGCCACAGTGACAAGCTACAGGGCTCGGACATGCCGCCCCTGCTGAAGAACGCCACGTAGTAGATACATGTACCGCCCCTGTGCCTCCCTTCGACTATAAAAGGGAGTGACCAGGGCCGCTTCAAGGCAGGAGAAAACCAGGGCAAGCCACGCAAAACACTCTGTAACATGCACACTCCTTCACTGCAAGAGATCAACATCTCAAGCAACACACACGGCAATTCACAGAGACCTGGGGCTAGCTCCCTCTCTCGCCCAGCTTGTAAGACCCTACTACAAGCACCTCGGTGCAAGGAATACAAGATCGCTCCCTCAAACTGGACGTAGGGCACCTATTGCCTGAACCAGTATAAACCTTGTGTCTCTTTGTATCACCATCCGGGATTAGGAACACGCAGTACACTTTCACTAGTCGGTTGAGGACCCCCCGGTCCAAAACACCGACACAAACAAACTAATAGTTGCTGAGAGAATTACTTCCTTTGCATGTGCAAAACATAGACAAAAACAATACTTTCATGTTCAAAAATAGTGTACCTCATTTTGTGCAGTTATGATGGCCTCAAACCACACGAAAACAATCTAAATAATCCTCAGAATGAAATATATCAATACTGAACTTTACACTCTTGTGTAACTAGCCCAGGGTTAAAAGCGTCAATTCAAGCTCCATTTAACACCACTAGTGGCCAAATCTAACTGAAAGGCCAAATAAAGAACCAAAGTGGTATTTTAGGCCAAATATACAAGTTTCAAAACTAAAAAGGCCAAAAAAGAAAGGAGAGCCTTTTTTTAGGACAAGGAAGTAGTTCTCCCAAGCTTAATGATGTTTTTGGTATGAGTCCATATGCAAGGGTAGATATGGGCATTCTTATAATAAATATATGGAAATAAAGAGGAAAAAGTGCAATTTACCTTCCTCGACTACCATGGTCGTTCGATTTTTCTCTCTGATCTTTAAAACCAATTCTTTTAACCTCCCTCAACTTTTGCAAGCCATTAACTTTTGTGACGTGAACGACTTTGGTGGTGGTTTTGTTGAAGTGGCGCCACGTCAGAGAAGGTAAATCTGACTAAGTTGAAAGTCTAAGGAGGTAAACCGTTATCTCATTAACTTTTGTGACTTGAGCGACTTTGGTGGTGGTTTTGCAAACCATTATCTCATTAACTTTCAACTTAGTCCTATTTGCCTCCTCCTCTGAGAGGTTAAAAAATTATTTTTTAGATTAGAAAGAAAAATCAGACAACCACTATCTATAGTTGAGGGAGTTAAATTAGATTTTATTTCTTTTAAACAACACCACCTTCTTTATTCAATTATTAGGAGGATTGTACATATTATACACACCATCAGGTGGATTCAAGAACCACACATGACGTCCTACCTCAGCATGGATCGAGCTACGAACTATTCTATGAGCATCGGTGTTTGAGTCCCTATGCTCGACACTACTAAAAACTTCCTTCCTCGCATTGATCTCCTGGATAACCTGTACGTAGTTCCGGAGATCACGTTGTCAGATACTCTTCAGCACGTTGAGACAAATCACTAGCAAATAAAGGCCTTGTTTAGATTGAAAAAAATTTCAACCCGATGAATAGTAGCACTTTCGTCTTATTTGATAAATATTGTCCAATCGTAAACCAACTAAATTCAAAAGATTCATCTCGTGATTTCCAACTAAACTGTGCAATTAGTTATTTTTTTTACCTACATTTAATGCTCTATGCAAACGGCTAAAAATTGATGTGATGGAGAGAGAGTGAAAAAACTTGGAATTTTGAGGGTATCTAAACAAGGCCAAAGAAGTGCATCAAAGGCCGTGGGCTTTGCGGGTGCACTGTTGGCGAACCCACGAGAGTAGCTCTGGAAGCCAGGAACAAGCGGAAGCACGGTGTCCGGTAACGGCCGAACGTTCTGTCCCGGCGCCACGGCCCACGATACGTTAGTTGGGCCCATTTGGTCTTTCGGTGCCCAAGTCCCGCAACGTCCGACCACGGACGATTGGACCCCCTCCCCTTGCGGCCTTGTCCATGTGTCCAAAGTCCAAACCAAAATGTGTGTTCCGAGTTGGGCTACTGATGGGCCGGCCCAACGCGACGCGACGGCGACGCAGCGGCGGTCGTGTTGGCGTACACAGACAACAGAGCCACGTGCTGCTGCATGCAGGTCGACACCGCTGCCACCTGCCCGCCTACCAGCCTACCACGGCACGTAGTATCAGCGAACCGAGCGGCGAGCGCTACGCGACACCGTCGTTGCTTGTTCAACAGCTGAAGGCAGCATGGTCGACCACTCGACCGGAGCATAGGAAGAAAAAGCCGAGGGCAAAAGGCCTGAATGGTTACAAGCTGTATCGTGTCCCTGGCTCCCTGCCGACGTACGGCAAGCCGGATCTGAGGAGACTTCCTCACAACTCCCTGCACACACGCAACGAAGAATGGAGCGGAATGTTGCTTCCTCGCATGAGCATGAGGCAAAGGATGACGCCAATGATTGCGTCGTACGTCCACGGAGACGGCTTGTCTGAAAGTTTGAAGTTTCACACCTCTTTAATCTGTTCTTTTTTGCCCTTTCGAGAACTCCCCTCTAGTAAGATGAAACATAGTAGTAGTCGTCCATTGTTTTGGATTGTTCCCTTTTTTTTCCTCTCAAGAAAATCAGGGCTGGTTTAGTGCTTAGATGCTTGAAAAAGTTACTGTGGACATGTACGATGACCTTTGTTCATACGTTCAGTCCATAGATTCTTCAGTACTCCAAGGCAAGGCATGCAAAATGCTGGAAATGAGAAATCAACAGCGAAATGACGTCCAGTCTAGAGCTTCAGTACTTTTAGAGATTCAGTACTCAAAGGCAAGGCATACAGCCATTATTTAGAGATTCAGTACACAGAATGCTACAAATGAGAAATCAACAGCAGAATGTGAAATTGTAGATTCGAGGTAGACAAAATGGTGGTAGTATGAATGCATTATTTAGATAGTACTGTAAATTGGGAGAGATTCATCAAATTAATACGAAAGGCTGACATTGATTCAGAGTTACATGCTGCTATATCTGTTTGCTGAACTTGTTTCAGTACAAGACAGGAGCTTGAACATTTATCCCCTCCGAAGCATAGTAGTAGAACAGGGGGGCAAACTAAAGTGGCCAGAAAGTAAACCACAAAAAGAAAAACAAAGGAGAAAGAAAGGTACAAATCAAAGACGACGTTCCTGCTTCCATTGTACAGGGCTGACCAAAGCTATGATGGCACTTGCAGAATCATGTCAGTAGAAAGACAAAGCTTCAAGGCATGCACCATCCAGGGCGCTGGGGGCAACAAAGCTGAAAAAAGAACAAAGCTACAAAAGGGAAAAGCAAATGTGCTATAGCTAGCTGCAACGATCATTTTGTTGTTAGCAAATCGAGTCTTCCTTCTCCGTCTCTGGCTCGATCGTCAGTGTATCCTGCAGCACACTGCTCGCTGCTTCCTATGTCTCCATCATACTCCTACTGTCTACTGGTACCTCTCTTTCACCCCCTTTATGTTTTCTGTGCGAGAGCGCCATGTCAGTCTTGAATCTTTGATCTCATGGCTTCTACCCTTTTGCACATGCGATACGCCAGCAGGGCCAGCAGCCAGCCACGACCCCGAATCATTCCATTCCATAGATCGGCGTCTGAAAGGCTGCCACATTTGGGTAGGAGTATCCAAAGGGGCCTGCCGTCATGGAGCTTTCATAGGACCCATTGAAAGCGATTGGTGTGGCGAATGGTAGGGAGGAGCAGCTGTTGGAGCTCTGTTGCGTCTCATTCTCACACTGCTGCTGCTGATCCTGCAGCTGCTGATGGTGCTGGTGCTGGTGCTGCTCATGTGAGGAGGCCATGCCGCCATTGACATAGCAGTGGGTCATCGACGAAGCAGTGCCATGGGAGTTTGCAAAATCCAGGTTCACTCCGGAGGAGTAGAGGCCGAACCCTAGCCCCTGCAGGTTCCCTTGCTGGTGGTGCTGCAACGCGAGCATCGACAGGTAGTCCTGCTGCTGCTGGTCATACTTCACCGGAAGCGCGGCAAACAGCGGCGCAGTGCTGGATTCGACGGGCATGGCATCAGGTGAGCCCGATGGAGCGGAATCCAATGCCTTGTTGCTCCGGCCACCGGCCGACATGCTCCCCATTGGAATGTTGCTGCTCATTATGCTCTCAACGTTATACCGGCTGATCTCAAAGTTTGTAACGGCGTTCAGGCCTCTGAACTTGATGGCCGCTATGTCATAGGCCTCTGCAGCTTCCTCCTCGGTGCCTAAATGAATAGCATAGAAGGCAACATCAGTTCTGGAACATTTCTTCTATTCCGCCATAAAGAAAAAAGAAGTAATTTTTGTGAAACAGATGGGACAAGGAGTATGGACGTATCATCCCAACCAAAAGAACTGAAAAAAAGATGAAATGGGCTAGCTGAGCTTAGCAAATAAAGCAATGGATGCAACTACAGCACTAGCATCTAGTTAGATCTTAGATGTTTTGACTACTATAAGCTGACAGAACCGTGTATGGGACAGCAGCTTAGTAAAAAAATTGAGAACAGTAATGGCGGGTTCAGAACGTACAATTAGTTTAACCACAACCACATGCTTTACATGGAAAACCGAGAGGGAACACTAAACAAAATATCGAACGCAGGTTACTGCACGCAGAGCACAAAGAAAAGGAAGTGTTCAGGTTGCAATGCAATCAAGCAAAATGCATGCACGGTCCCTCTTTTTCTTCTGCATAAAGTCCCCAAACCCATCATGCATGGGGGCAAAAGATGACAAACTCAAATCAAACCCAGCGCTACACATGCGTACATCTGGTCAAAGTAGATGTTCTTGACCTACATAAAATATGTAGACGAATCTAGCTACAAGGATTGTACGTACAAATCATTGAAAAAGAGGGGGGCCTACGTGCAAGGTGTTAGTAGTGTATATTGTAATGTGGGAACCAAAGAAAATAGTTTTGACTGATGGTCCCAACTTGTCTCATTTTGAGAAAGGAAACCGAATGAACAGCTTTTATTCATATATGACGATCATGTGGTTATGTATTACACAAAAGTAACATGCTGAAACGATAAGATTTTGGCATTGTGGATTCATGGAGCTTCCAGACTGAATAAGTCGATATAGCTGAGAAATCTGCAGTGTCTAGTAGATGCAAAAGGCCAAAGGGTATGTATATACTCACTGAATGTTCCAAGGTAGAGGTCCTTGTTGCCGGCAACCCTTCCGATCCTTGCTTGCCACCGCCCATGCTGGTGATGTCTGCCGATTGCATGGACAAGGAGACTTTAGACAACAACATGTGTAAAAGGACAAACTGAAAGTCTGAAACATGACTGCAATTGAAAGAGGAGAGCAAGCAGGAGTATTCACCTGGTTACACCTCTGTAAATAGAAGCACCCCTAGAGAATCCACTACTCTTCCTGCACCACAAAACATGTTTTTTTTTTGTCAAAAACACTCGAATGATAAAGTTATAACATATGCATAAGATGGCCATGCACAGATCAATGCATGCATTTACAGCATCAGAGAATAGTGATCACCTTCGAAGGGAAGCAACAAACTCTTGCCGAGTCATGGTCTTCATCTCCTCGAGCTCCTTTTCATACTCAGCAACCTGAGAAAGAATTCTTGCCCCGTAAAGACGCACATCCAGCACATAGATATCTATCTTGATGTTGTTTTTTTTTTTTTTGTTTTATAGTTATGAATCGCAGGTCTGTCTATGTGCTTACTGGAAAGTTGGTGGTGGTGCTAGAACCCCAGTACTTCAACGCTGCAAGATCATACGCCCTGGCCGCCTTCTCCTCCTTATCATAGCCACCTTCAGTTTCATGAAAAAGAAATCATCATCAATATGATGCTTCTTGATGAGATGCTACATGGACAATGAAAACCTGAAGTTTATTTCAGTTTTCTTACCCAAATATACTGAACACCAGAAGCATCAGGCAGCAAGTATTGGCACCAAGCCGACATGGAAAAAGGAGAGTTAGTAGCTAGACAAATTTACAGCAGAGGCATACTCCGTACTTCCGTAGTATGCAAGACTGACGATGTAGTACCTTGGCGGCCCTTGCGGCTCTGCCCTTCACGCCGGCAGCTGTTGTCCCACAGATGTGCCTCGTACCTGCCAGTCCACCGGTGCCTAGAAATCACCAAAAATATCACATCGCCTAAGACTCTAGACAGAGCCAAAACTCATCAAATACAGTGCTTGACTGCTTGGGGAAAAAAAAAGAACAGCAGAAAGATTGGCAAAACTCTCCAAATGTTGAGAAACTGAAGACATAGTCCAGGAGGGAAAACAACTTAAAGAATCCTATTATTTACAATCACCAATCACTTGCTTCTGCTCTAGTATTATATGATCAGACAAAGGCTTGAGAAAATTAGCAGGTACAAGTACGACACAATAATGATATTTTCAAGAACAAACCCCAACTTTTCTGCATCCATTAATCCATGGAAGTATGAACTAGGCATGCCTGTAACATGGACTCTACGCCAGACATACCAAGTAAGCGACCACCAGCAGGTGCAACTTTGCATGCAGATAGCTAGCATCATGGTACTAGCAGTCCATGATAAGAAACACCCAAACAAGACACCTTCTTTATCCTTTTTAGGTGTATATATCGCCACGGATTAGACTGATCTACGACAGCTAGCTTACCGTGTGACGCCGCGGTAGATGGACGTGCGCTGCCCAAAGGAGTCGACGGCCTTCCTCTGCTCCGGCGCCGGCAACGCCGCGGCGGCGGTAGGCAAGGCCAGCTTGGGGTCTGCCTGGTCGAGGGAGGACACCGGCGACGTCGCCGCCGCTCCAGCAGCCGAGCCACCGCCCAGGAACCCGGCGGCGGCTATGAACTTGAGGTCCGAGTCGTACATCTCCGCGGTCGCCGTCGCCTCCGGGGGCGCGGCCACCGGACCACCGCCGCCGCTGGCTCTCTCTCCGTTGATGACACCACCGCCGAGGAAGTCCTCCAGCTTCGGCGGCGGCGTGGCGCCGGCTATCGCGGCCAGCTCCGCGGCTGCGCCCCTCTCCTCCTCCTGGAGATCACCTGCTCGATCGATCGCAAACACACATGCAGATAGAACGAAGTTAGAACACCTCGAGCTCGTTAATGGCAGAAATAAACTTACAAAGAGAAGTACACGAGCGCGCGGGGAGATTGAGATGCATGGATGGACGGAGGGAGGGAGGAAGAAAGGAGAGGTACGGGGCGCTACTGACAGTGGTGAGCGAGGGAGAAGTTGAGCCATGGATAGTGGTGCGAGGTGTCCATGACGCGCGCGGTGAGAAGCAGGGAACCGGAGACGCGGTAACTTCTGTGTCGAGGTGAGTTTGTCCGAGCTCGGGGTCGAGGAAGGTGAGAAACCGACGGTGCTACTAGCTAGAGAAGTGGTACCAGGGAAGAGGATTTCTCGGGTAGTGAAGATTGAAGAATGGGGAGGCGGAGGGTGGTGATAAAATAGAGGAAGGAGAAGACACGGCAGCTCGCTCCGCGCGCGGCGCTCGCACACGGAGGAGAGAGAATGAGAGAGAGAGAGAGAGCCCACGGGGAACGAGGCACGGTATATTTATATGCTGGTTTCGAGGAGCCATATATGCCATGTATGAGGAGAGAGAGAAGGGAGAGAGATGCTTTCACTACAGGACTCCTCCGCCGTCCGCCGGCCCGCGCCCGCGGCTCGGCTCTCTACAGTGGTCTTGGCTAGCTGTTTGGCGTTTGCTGATGGGGTGTGGGTGTTTGCATGGCGCGCGCGGCTGTTTGCTGCGTACCATTCCACGGCGCGGATGGCGCCGCTGCGTTTTACAGGTGGAGGCGCGGCAGTGGGTGGCCGGGGCGGTATCCTTGACCGCCTTGGAAGCAAAGGGTGCCGTCAGGGAGCCCGGGTAGGCCGCGGCGCCGTCTGTGTGCTTACGCATGCATGGCAGCCCCGTGCTGTGCCTCTGGCTATCTCAACGACAACACCTAAAATATAAGGCTTATTCATCCTTTAAGTAGCGCTACAGGTAAAAAGTTCAATATATATTTGGTATCTTTTCTAATAAAAAGATCCAAAAGAGAATCATTTCTGCAAATAGATTTTCAGGAGAGAAGATGTCTATATTTAGGTTATGCCTCTCAGACAACCAAAAATAGATTTTTCGTATATGTACTCTTGAGGCTAATTTTAAATCTGTTTGATGTCCATATGGGTTCTGTTGGAGACAGTCTCACGGATGTCTCTGGACTGTGGCTGCTGCCCTCCGTTCCGGCTTTGCACAGTCCAGGCCATGGCCATGCATGCTTGGGCGGCCTGCTTTCGTCTCCTCTGAGTCCTCTCTCCTCTGCCTTTTTACTACCATCGCTAGTTCGCTACTAGGCTACTCGGCTTTTTTACTTGCTAGCTACAGTAGCTTGCATTAATTGGCGCCATGTGTAGATTGAAAGTGAGCATTTGCGCCCCGGCCGGCTCAATGATCATGGTGCTTCAAAAAGGGCTTTGCTAGTGGAGCGATCCATCCTTCTCAGTCTCTCACAGCCGTGGGCGTGACTACCGTACCAGTTGGGGCAACAAAACGCCATAGTAGATATAGGACGAAAACGACAACACCCAAAAAGTCCAAATGCTCGCTACGTACGCAACGTAACATGCATGCACGGTCGCGTGGCACATGGACAAGGGGGGTAAACTGAACAGCTCCCAAGAAAGGAAAGCTAGAGATATATATATATATATATATATATATATATATATATATATATATATATATATATATATATATATATATATATATATATATGGTAAGGCTATTCTCTAGCGCGTTGGTCATAGAATAACTTATTCTATATCCATCTTGATTTACGATAATGTTTGTCCCAATTTACGATAATGACAATACACATTTACGATACATGAGCTACTATAATTCAGGAGGATACTTACCATAATGCTATAGTAAATCACTTATAAGGGAGTTACTATAATCTCGTAAATTAGTATAGTAATTATCGTAACTCAAAGTGGCCACATAATAAGTTATTTTATGACCAGTTATATATATATATATATATATATATATATATGTGTGTGTGTGTGTGTGTGTGTGTGTGTGTGTGTTTGTGTGTGCAGAAAAGTGCTGGCCGTTGAGATAACGCTAGAACGTGCAGTCAAATGTCAGCTCGTGTACGTTTATCCGCAGCAGTCATCTGGACGAATGAATGAATGAACGAACGAACTAACTGCCGTGGATCACACACCACGCCGTGTGCGTTGTGCTACTCCTAGGTAGTGAGGCGTCCTGCGTACGTCCAGGAACTCCAGACGATGGATCAGCTGCGTTGTTGCACAGTTCTCCGTATCCAACGGGACGGGGCAAACAGTCAAAGATGACAGGACTGGTAAAGGCTGTGTACGCTGGGCATCGATCGTAAAGCTAGCGGCGACCAAAAGGTGGCGCACCATATAGGCGACTGGCCGGCCGCCTCCCTGGTCCTCTTCGCTTTAATTGCAACGAACACCGAGATTACGGGGACGGAGGCGCTAATATATTGTCGTCAATCGCGACATGCCAGTACCAGTTCACTTCAGCCTAGCTAGCCAGTAGACCATTTATAGCATCATTTGGTCTCTATTTTTGTCCTCAGTTTACGTATAAAGTATATATATGGTGCATATGCGTTGACGACGCGTACGTAGTATATCAACATGCATGACAGCATCGCAGCCCCAAAACATGGCGTAGTGGAGGCAACAAAACTTTCCGGTCGCCGGCCGTACGTCGTCGTGTAGCTCTCAGCTCTCTCACAGGCTACGCTGGCCGCTGGCTAATATACCCACAACACTGATTAAAGAGCGCATGGTCAGGGGCTTTATGCATCGCGTGGAGGAAGCAAGGAAGCAGCAGGGGAGGCACCAGCACAAGCACAGCAGGGACACCCCGCCGACGTGCCGCCTTTAGTTTGGCGCCTCTCGCTTTGCCATTTTCTGGACATGGACCGCCCCGCCCCCGCGTGGCCAATCGCTAATCATGCGGTGACCAGCACGCCTGGCGGCCGACATGGGCCTTGCCCCGGCCCCCGGCGAGCGCGCATCCGATCCCGGGCTCCCCGCTGCCCGTCCGCCGCGGCTCCGATCCCCCGGCCGTCCGTGTCGGAATCATCATCAGGCGTTTCTCCCGTGGGAACGGCGCGGAACTCCGTGTTTGCGCGACTTGTTTTCGTGTCGTGGAACACGAAACTACTTGACGCTAAACTAGAGGGGTGGAATCAGTGTCACGCACCGCGGAAAACCGATCTAGTACTTCTCGGCTTTGGCGACCGACCGACCGGGCGGGCACCGGGGCGGAGTACGTCGGCAGGGGGGGCAGAGGGCGGCACGTGAGGTGGGGGCGTGCGGCGGTGCCTTGCAGGTTGCAGCCTTCTTGGGGGCCTGGCCGCGCGCGGCGATGCTCTCTGACACGTGTTCCAAGGGCGCACGTGAGGCGCGGCGCCACCGTGCAGGTGCAGTGCCCCGCCGTTGCCGCAGCGAATCCTACCGGAAGGGGTGCGTACGTACGCGGAATCTGGTCAAAACGCATGGCCACGACACGCCGGACCGCACGTCCGGCTGGGATAATGTACTCTTTCTCCACACATCCACAGCGATATCGCAGAGGGTGGGCGTCACGTGAGCGTGAGCGTCCCGGTGCAGCCCGCGTGTTTGGTGGCCTTTTCCCTCCCCTCAGCATGTCTTCTCTCGGCACAAATCGTCACCTCCACCTGGCTCTTTGGGCGAGACACAACCCGCGTCTTTGGGGTCAGGTGAGATGGAGCCCGCACTCAAGGGATCGGACGAGATGGAGCCCGCGACCTCGAGGTTGGGCGAGACAGAGCCCTGACCTTAGGGTCTGGCGAGACCTTTTAATACGTCTCGAGCCATCCGGAAAGTCAGTGTGGACGCTAACTTTCTTGCTTTTGGTATCCCTAATATCGATACCCGACAAAATTTGTCCCACAATAAGTTCACTTTTCGCCTTGGTCTCGCCATCACGAGTGGGAAGAGATTGGAGCTCAGTAAATTTAATATACATATATCCTTTCTTGTTTAACTAAAGCTATGCTGGGTTGGCTCAGAGTACATGTAGCTTCAGTGTTGTCTGCTTTAAGTAGGGATACAAACAGGGGCAGATCCTTGTTTGACCCAGTAGACAAGAAGCGGAGGCACCTTCCTCAAATTATGGGTTTGTAAAGAAATATGCCTTTTTCATGTAGCTATAGAAGTCCATCAATAAAAATCCATCACTCAAATTTTGTGCTAGTTCGGCCCCTAGATACAAATGCTTCGGCTGGGTATAAAGGTTTCCTCCCATTAAGCACGCAAAGGCTCGCGTTCCATCTCCCAATAATTAGTGTGTTTGAATGCCACGCTTCTACAACCTTTCATATTGTGCAGCTTTCCATTTCGGCTGTCACTAAGGACACTCCCAATACAAACACTGCCATACTTTCTATGTCTATTTATTATCCTTCTATTTATTGAACTTTGCTGATCCGGCTAGCCACGCCATGGGCTCGCTGGCCTCATGTGTGGTAGAGGGCGGGGAAGAAGAGGAATACACATTTGAGATGTTTTGACTCTCCAAGATTTTTGGAATGACTTATAATTTGAAACGGAGGAAATACACACGCATGATTATTATTGTTACACAAGTGATAAGGAGTACATAAAGAATCCCACGAGAAATCAATTCATTCTAGCCCTGCTCTTTACATTGGACATTCTATCGCAACTAACTTGATAGATGTTAATGATTTGTTAGCTCAACTATAGTGTTGATATCAATCAGGGTGGTGCCGCGACCCATTCCTTGTTCCTAGAATTTTGTCTCATCATCCATATTGGTCACTAATGTTTCCGGTAGTTTACCATTATATTTGTTATATTATGAGAAAATGCCTTTTAGTAGTATTTATCAACAAATACCACCATTGAAGAGTGTCCTACGGTAAATTTATCCGTGCAAGTACTGCTGCCACCTTGTATGCTACTATTTTTTTTTTGTTCTCTTCCTTCCAAGTTAGATTCTTTTGTGTGTGTGGCATGATGAAGCCACTATCCGAGCGTGGGCAAGGCCCAAAGTAGGTGTCCTACGGGCGGATAACGATGACCACACGGACACAAATCCTCTGGCAGGGGGTACGTCACCAGGGAACGATCGACCCGCAGACGATAGGGACGGATCACGGATGGAGCTAGCTAGATAAAGCTAAAGCTGCCTGCCAATACAGTGTACTCTCATGGCGGCCGATCATTCCTT